GTCCCTTTATAAAGCGGCTAGTGAGTCTCCTGGCTCAAATGGAGTTAAGAAAGTACAATATTCTGGAAAGAGGGTGCGATACGTGTACAAATGTAGAAACAATCTGCAAGATGTCGCTCTGAAATAGAATGGCTAAATGGAACACTGCAGGGAGCCAAGAAAAGCTGAAAGGAGGGGGATTTTTAGTTCTGTGACATTTGCCAGATGCCCCAGAGGAGAAGGTCCTTGGAGGTTTGCTTTGACTTCTCAATGGATGAGATGGTTGGGCAGGGTTAAGTGTAAGTGGCCACCTGTGCAGTAGCAGGGCTCAAATGGGAGCACTTTCCCCACACTCCCTAATCATAGTGAAGTCCTTTTAGTCTAAGCAACAGCACCATGGTCCCAAATCGGAATGAGCCTTGTAGATGGAAATTTGGCAGGAATTCTCTTTGCCTGATTTACTAGAAGAGGGTAGCCCTGGTAACTATATTCCCTGCCCCAGAAAATATTTTTATGCCCTATCATTAGCACAGTAAAATTGAATAGAATGCCTACACCTACGCTGGGTTTGTCTGCCCATGTTCACCGTTCTCTGTGTTTGCCATATATAGGTGAAACAAATACTGTCACAGTGCTTAATGGCTAGGAGAAGGTGGATTAATCAATCTGTGTCAACCAGAAATGCAGTCGCTGATTGTGGGCCACAGGGACCCACACCCATGGCCGTGACCTAGCCAGCATACCTTTTTGATGATGTGGATAAAGATATAAACACACTGACCGTGTTCCAAGATCTATATCTGGGAGATATTACTCATTAGTAGATAATAGCATATAAAAAGTCAGCTGGGACAATGATGGGTCCAAAACATCTAGATAAAGTTTAACCAAATCAAATTTGTGTTTAAAAATAATGTAGTTTCACAACTATAGATGGCATGTATGGTCTTCATTATAAGTGAAGTTAAATAAATTGGGTATTGTAGCTGACTGTAAATTTAATATCATCACAAGAGGGTGCAACCACTTTTTTTTTTTTAACGACATTAGGTTATGAGAGCAAAAGTGGAAATGGTCACAGAGAAGAGTGCGCCACTTCTTTGGCTTGCTCCAGGATTTTAGTGAGCTAGAGAAAATCAAGAAGAGAAGAACTGGAGTGAGAAAAGGTGGACACTGTGTCAGAAAAGATAGGTGTGAAGATGTCTGGCCCCCAGGCCAACAGCGTTAGATCTGACTGTTTGTCTTCTGCAGTGAGCGGACACGTCTGGGCTGCTCGTGAGGGCAAAGCTAGACCACGTAGAGAGAAGAAGGCATGGGGGGGGTCACTCTACTGAAGGCTATTTTAACAATAGCAACTGTGCAGCAAGGAAATCTGTCACTGCAAGGAACAATGTACCCTTTGGTTTGGCCTTTAGAAGCTGAATGGAAGGGTCTGAATAGTTCAGGATGTAGAGTTTCTGCACTGGATTCCGTACTCTCTGCCCACGGGAATTCTGTGCTGCGTTAAGTATTTGTTAATTGTATCTTACTGCATTTCATTCAATGGTTTATAATCACTTTGTGGATAAGGGGAATGGATTGTATGGAGCGGGTTTGCTGAAATTGGAGGATAAGAATCAAAACGATTCCAGTTAGACTGCCTTGAGGGGGCAAAAGCCAGAGGACACACTGGAAATGGGAGAAACTGTCAAAAGTGGAATGGTTGCCTTCATGTGTTAGCCTTCCCTCTCCCCCACCACTCCTTTCCACCCTCTCCCACTCCCCCTTTCCCCTCTCCCTGCTCCTCTGTGTGTGTGTCATTCTGTGTCATTTGCTGCAGCTGAGCCCTGGGCAACTCTGTTCTCTCTACCCAATGCCTGGAAAAAAGGTCATTGATCAGAGGACACTGGCACCCATTGGCACAGAAAGGCTGAACACAGCCAAGGGTGGCCATATCCCTGGGGCATCCTGGCCCTGGCCTGTCATAGTTGCCAATGGTGCTTTATTGATAGGAGAAAAGATGATAAAACTGCTTGCCATTTACCCAGTACCACTTGATTCCAGGTGAACAAGCTGACATCAGAATCCGCTAAGCCAGCCAGGTGCAGAGCATGCGCCTGGAGGCCTCAGACCCCAGAAGAGCTGCCCTCCCTTTTCTCCCCTCCTCCTGGTCCTGCCTGAGAGATTCATCTTCAGCCAGCTCCCATCAAGGGAAGGAAGGGCTTTCATGTCACATTCTTTTCAGCTGTCCTAAGAACCAGCCCGATTGCAGATGACACTCCCTCCTCGCTCAGGCTTTACCAGGGCTGCTTTCAACTCATGGTGGGATTGTATAATTATGGTGATTACAGCTTATGGCTTTTTCCCTCTCTTCATCTTTTGCTTTCAAATTCATTGAGGCTTCTCATTAAACATGGCGATCCTGGTAAAGTCAGCAAAGTTTTAATAAGACATGTTTTAAAGCCCAGTCACAGTTGATGGATACTGTGTTCTCTCAGACACTAATTTAAAACCCTGTGAGGTGAGGATGATGCCTGGATCTAAGGGATGGGGGAGAAGGGGATATCAGTGTCTTGGGGGTGGGGAGGTACCTGTACTTATCCTCTGGCTTAAAGAATCATTCTACCCTGCACCCCTGGCCTTTCTTGCATCACAGCATGGTACACTGTGCTCCCATACCTACTAGGAGGAGAGGAACTGTCAACCAAGGACAGAAAGCCTGACTTTGATGTCATAGCAGATTAACTCAGGAAATGGAGATGAAGCATCTAACACAAAACTTAACCCAACCTTGTAATCTACAGCAAAAGTAATAGGTAAATTCTGTTCTGGGTGATCTTGGGCATCCATAATTCTAAATATGTAACAAATTTGAGTGTTAGCATCTGTGGTGATCATGATCCAATGGTCATATACTCGATGGAGGTCTCCATGGTAATGATATGCCTTCAGACCCCACTATTTCCTAGCCCTCAATCATAGCTTGCTTAAATAATTCCTAGGTCTATAGGACCACCAAGGAGTGTGGGTTAGGTGGTGGCCACCAGAGCCCCCAACCTGCCCTTCAGTCTCCCAGAAAATGCAGAGGTACCTGCTCAGCGAGGTACATCTTGCTTCAGCAGGAGTATGTTTTTGAGAGCTCCCTGATTGCCCCCATGATTGGTGGCATCCAGATAGCTCCTTAACCTGGTGTTAACTGGTTACCCACCACTTGGGTCACTTAAGATAAAGTAATTGAGTTATAACTAGCTACAGCAACCACCCCAGGTCAAAAGTCAAAAATTTGGCTGTAATATTTCTCCCAGCTGCATTCACACCTATGTCTGAAGGTGATCTGCTCGCTTTGCCCCCTGAGACCAGTATCCCTTTAGTACCCATGGAAATGCAGAGAAGTAATCAACATCAGATGCAGGTAATCCCTTTAGGATGCCCATGTGTCCACATGATATTAGAATACGACCCTGGGAAAGTCTCTCACATGCCCAATGGGTACAACAAAGCCTACTGCACAGAGCAAATGTTGGAACTAAACAAGGGTGAGATGGTCATAGCTGCCACTTCTTGGAAGCTCATAGTGTCATACTGTGTCATGCTGGGCTTGGCCTGAGACACTTTAATTCTAGTCCAGCTGTACTATTAACTTGGATGACATGAGCAACCCAGTTTTCTTGTCCAATAAAAAGTGTCATATAAATAAATGATCAAAGGGGAAAATACATATGTGCTCAACACCCTCTTTTCAGTGGATGAGCTCAGTGAGCATAGCTCTTCATATTATTTTCATCATTACAATATTACTTGAAACCCATCTGTATTACTTAATATTAAGTAATATTGTTTAGCTTAATTTCTAACAATAGTCTTCAAGGTAGGTATTGTATTTATTTTTGCAGTTGAGGGTGGATAAGAATATATCTCATGACATTATATCCAAATTGCATTTATTACATACATACATAAATTGCATTTATTACAATGACTAGCGTGGTTACTACTCAGGTAATGGTAGCTTTTACTACCATCCCATTCTAAGGTTAATGGTTGAGAGCTGGTTTTTCTACTTTCCCGGGGAATGGAGGAGCTATGGTTCCTTGCAGCCAGCTTCTGCCCTTTGCTCAACTTCTCATGTTCCCTTAGCACTTCCCAGGAATCCCAGGCAGCTATAGAGCTTGTCAGCCTGGAAGGTGGGAAGAGCCACAGGTAAACTGTTGCAGTATTTCCAAGACCTGGCATTTGTCCTCTACTGAAATGCAGGATTCTAAGATGCCTCATGCTTCCAGGCACAGAGCTGGAATGGTTCTACCCATGATAAGTGTATGAAATTAAGTCCACCAGAGATACCTACCTCCCTGCATAACAGCCCCCTTTCCAGCACACTCACGTCTCAGTTGCCTACCTGCCCGGAGCCTCCCTGAGTACTACAACCTCACCTTGTCCAGATGTTCCATCTGCCAGATAAACAGAGGTTTCTATTTTTTAACCACTTATTACACTGCGAGGTTTGTGGAAGAGTTGGAAGCAAGTGGCAGGGGATGCTTTGAAATCTCTTGATAAACCTTAACCCCTGGGGTATGTGCTGATTTCCACTGACATGAGTGGCTTTTTCCTGGGGAGAGGTCTGTTTTTATACATGTATTTTAAGGTAAAGGCTTTAAGTTTGCAGTATTTGTCAAAGATTGGCATCGTAGGAGCTGATATAAAAACCCTACAGCTAATCACGTGGCTGCTTATATGCCTTGCATGAGATGCTTACGGGAGTGCCTATAATGTGAACTTGCACACAAATGTGTGCACTGTTCTATATCAGTGTGTACAAGTGTATACACAGGTGCCTGCACTGCCTCCTGATCCACGCCTTGATGTTTGGTGTATGGCAGGTGTGTGACCATACACTGCAGACCTGCATGTGCTCCTGTGCATGGACTGCTTGTCTGCCGCAGCTGTGTGTGTCTGGGCAGGGGCTCCTCTAGAGCCACAGGTCTTCACAGTTTCAGCTGGATAAGTTATTCTTCACTTCCCTTCCCCCAAACACAATTGCCTAGTGCTGCTGGCGCAGAGTCAGAATGGCCGCTGCATTTCACCCCCGAGGTGGCTTCCTTCCAGCAGTGGGTGAGTGATCCCGGCGTCCGCACACTCTCTAACCTTGGGGATCCTTCTGCACAGACAGTGCAAAACCCAGCAGTGATCTGTCTGTCTGTGGCCTCCATTTTGTCTACTCCTCTATTCTCATATCCAAATCTCATGGACGGTCAGCAGCAACCATGTATTGGTGTTTCCATTTTTCCTGCCCATTTTTTTAAACCTGGTTTTTCCTTCCTAACAAACAAGGAGCCCAGGGGCTCAGAAGTGATGCTGAGAAGAGACTCTTGTCCTAGAAGCAGTGCACAAACATGTTTGGGTATTGATCCTGTAACTCAACGCTCCAAGTGCTCTTGCTCTAGCAGAAGACAGAAATGCCCACTTCCTTTGGAGATATTTTAAAATCCAGTAGTAGAAGTCAGCTTCATTTCCCAGCTAAGGCTTCCATAACCCTGACTCTCTGGGCCTAGAGCCAAGGAAATGTACAAGCCTCACATTTCTACATACTAGACCATGAAGAGAGGAGGAAATTGGGAAATAGCCTATCCACTGTCCTAGAGACCAAAAACATGTCAAGAACACATGAAAAGATTCTGTAGGGAATATGAAAGTAAAAAGGTTCTCCATGGCCAGTAATTCCAACAACACTAGTTTTTGTCCCAGAGCCTCTTGAAAAGGCTGCTTAACCTATTTCAGGCTGTACTTTTTCTGGTTAGGAGAGACATCTGATAAATGTCTGCTGACAGTATTCACAGTGGTAGGAAGGAAAGGGAAATGAGTGTCCTCCTTTGCTTATGCATCCAAAAGGACATGGACATTCACTGAAGTTTTATGCTTTTTGCAGGGGGGTAGTCAGCAAGTTGACTGCCTATGCCTTTTAGGCTGCACCTTAGCAGGTAGCTTAAACAAGTACTTGTTTGCAGGAGCTAATAAGTATTCTTAGGAGAATGGAGTTAGAATCCTCGAATTGCATGCTGCCAAGCTAGTGACTTCCTCTGGCTACCTTATCCGCCATATCAAATTTTAGCTGCATATTCTTCTAGAGTCATTCTCAAGGTTACTTGAACTCCCCAGTTGGAAAAAAGTAACATCAAGTTGTTGCCAATAGCAACATAGTCATGGCTCTGTTTCCTTGAGTCTTTTGACCTTTGCCTAATTTGGAATGAACCGGAGTTTGGATGTCAAAGTGCTTTTGGGGAGGAGGAAGAGAGAGGAAGCAGTGGACACTGTGTGGGCCACAGGCAAGCAGGCTACACAAGGGCTTCACAAGCACAACACTCCCCTCCCCTCCACTCCTGAGGCTACAAGGATTTCCTCCAAGCTGAGTGCAGAAAGGGCAACAGGATTGTTTGGTCAGTTCAAAAGGAAGGATGGAAGAAAAGCCAGTAGAAAAGGAGGCATGTCCACTGCAGGGGATGCAGAGCGCAGGGAAAATGGAAATGCACAGCTTGGAAAGGAGGCCAGGGAGCCTGTGCCTGGGCATTCTGCCACCAAAGTAGAGCTCAGCTGTTGAGCTCTTGTCACTCCCAGCATTCCTGCCTAGTTCCACATTTGTCCCTGCACAGCTGGAGGAGTTATGAAGGAAGGTCTCCCATCTCCCAGACCAACAGGCAGAAGTTGACCTCTGTATCTGGTAACTTTAATGAGGAGCAGGAACGAGAGGCCAGGAACACCATCCAGGGAGGCCTTCCTGAATTAGGCACTTGGGCTAGAATGATTTGAAATCAGGTTGGTTCTAACTGACTGTGTCTGGCCTACCTTAGAAAGGTAAACACCTGCTTCTGGGATAGTCACTCAAAAGATTTTAGAGGTGTCAGCACTGGCAGCACAGGGTCAAAAGCAGAAATGTAGCTTTACTTGTTGTAAATCCATATGGACCAAGCAATAGTGACCTGCATCCCAGCTCAGTACAGTAGCCTAAAACTCCTTTTGCTGATCCTGTCTGGCAGAAGGGGACTCCTCTCAGGTCACAGGATTTCCAATGTGATGAGGAGAAACCACTGAGCAGGGCAACTACTGCATGAGACAGCCTCAGGCAGAGCCAAAGAGCTGAATGAAAGAGCCAAACCTCTGGTTTGGGAGGTTAAGAAAATCACCCTGCACCACTTAGAGAGTGGCACAGTATAAGTGGGCACAGAGGAGCCCATGGGCATTTTCATTTCTGTCTCCCTGGAGAGTCAGGGCCATGTGCATACAGGTGTATGCCTCACGAAGGCCACGCACCTTGGTTCTGCCACTGGTTAGCTGTCTGCTCTCAAGGCAAGTCACTCAAGGCCCATCTGAGTCTGTTTCTTCATCCATTTAGTGCAGTTACAGTTACCTAGCTAGGATGCTGTGGACATCACTGTGTTTATTAAATGACCAGTTAGCTGGCCCTCTGTAGGCAATCAATGGGCAGCTGTTACGGACTATTAGCAGCCCCAACCCTGCCACACACACCAAGGCCTAGGCAATTTAAAGAGGAGGGCTTAAGATCTGTGGTGCATGATAAATGGATGCCACCCAGATGGGGAAAGAATAAGAAATTCAAAAACAAAAGCCCAGGAAGTCAAGAGGTAGGTAAGTCCTTTTACATTAATCCAGATAGGAGGGCTTGCAACACCTAGCTTTTCCTAAATTTGAAGTTAGATAGAGATAGATGAGAAGGAAGGAAGGAAGAGAGAGAGAAAGAGAAAGAAGAAAGAAAGAAAGAAAGAAAGAAAGAAAGAAAGAAAGAAAGAAAGAAAGAAAGAAAGAAAGAAAAAAAGACAAGAAAGTCACTGGTAGGTACCAGAGCAAAAGGTGTCTGAACCCACTAAATGTTCCAGTGCAATTTTGTGGGAAATGCTTTTGGAAGATGTGACAGCTTGTTAGATTGCACAGTCCTACCATTTTCATGGCAAAGTCTGGTTGTTTATACCATTACACATTGGATGGTGTACCTACCATTTCAAAAAAAAGCTATGATTTTTATTTTGATCATCTCTTTTATTTCTTTAAAAATTTGGCTTTAAGTACATGTGAACACATATTAATTTTTCTGCCACCAAAATTTTGCCATTAATTCGATTTTTACCTATCCCATGGATTTTTGAAATCAGGTGTTGTCTTTGTTTGTGATATAGCTTCGTACAAAAATCTCAAATAAAGAGAATATTTTAAAACTAAATAAAATGCCCTTCAGCCCCTGAGAGAGATCAGAAAGCTTGGTGAAGACCCAAGAGTAAAGCAGACCCCAGGAAAGAGTCTTGCCACAGGGCTCCTGCCCCAGCTCCCTATAGAAGGTTGAGACAGCCAGAAATAGTTCTCCTGTCTCCCTTCTGACCTAGCTCTGCTGTGGATTAGCTCATCTTTGCCTCATCTCATTACCTAGTTGTCCAATGTATCTGGTCTACCTTGCTTCAGAAGGTGATAAGGCCAAGAGCTGAAAGTGTTTTGAAAGCAATCTACATACAGCATAGATCTTTTTACCATCCCTTACCACCTTCTCAAGACCCTAAGACATCCCAACCACATGCCACTCTCTCACTTCAACTTTAAAAATCATTTAGAAAAGGACATGCCATGGAATTGCGTGAGCACTATTAAAATTCCTTTTACCTTGCTGAGTGAAGAAGGAACCAGGAGCACAAATACCCAAGGACATCACTTGAAGTTAGATAGTGTCATGTCTTCTCAGACCACAGAACCCAAGCCAGAATGCTAACCTTCCACTCAGCTGAATGCTGTCCCTAGCAGGTCCTCTCAAACCATGCTCCCATATAAACACATCCTTTATGAGTCTGAGCATGGCCCATTCAAGGTGACCTTGAAACTCCTTACAAGAACAACCTATCTCTGGGACTTCCCATTTCTTCCCCCAAAAATTCACCCAGTGAGCCCTATTCAGCAAAGCACCATTTTTTTCATGAGTAGGATGAAAAATGCCTATGTGTCCAGGGGAATCAGTTCGAGTCAATGGAAGCCAGAAATACTGTTCCAAATCAGTTCTGCTGCAAGTTCCAGTGCCCCTAGCAGAGGACTCTAGGTTTCTCCCACACCAGAAGAGTAAGCACTGAATTTTTCCAAAGGCAAAAATGGGACTAGCAACTTAAAATGAGTGAAGAGTAGAGAATTCCTAATGACAGCAGGGGTTTTTTTTCCTAATCTTTTTTCTCTTTTGAGATGTAATAATATATATGGTAAAATGCACAGGTCTGAAAGGTATGGTTCAATGATCTTGGCAAATATGTATACTTGTGCAACCTCTACTCCATCACCCTAGAAAGTTTCCTCTTGCACCTTTCCAATCAATTCTGCCCTCTTCTCCAGATGCAACCACATTTAGTTTCTATTTTCCCAGTAGCCTAGATTTTGATTTGATGCACTTAAGACCTTAAACTTTGGTCTTAGGTCACCTGGGCAAGTCACCAGGAGACTATCAGGAGCAGTTCACATGTCTTTATTTCCTTAGCATTGAAAAGCATCTCCTGAGCCCCTAGTGCTTGAGTGTGCTGCCCCCACATGCCACTTGACCCTCAGGGTTACTTAGTCCCTGAGCCACAGCCCTCTTCCTGACCAGAGTTTAGCATCAGTATCCCAGGTAAGTAAGTGGCAGAAGAGCTGGGTAACCCTGATGGGGTCGCGCATGCTTTGTTGATTAGAATCTGGAAGTGCCATGCACAGAGCAGCATGACAAGCAGCATGTTGATTTCCCTTAAAGCACTGCACAAAAGGGAGATAGCCCTTCTGTGTGTTTCCCTTCAGAAACAAAGGATTCTGTAACTAACTTCTTCCAGGCTTCTAGCCATCAAGACAGCCACAGAGCTGAAATGATTAGCCCAAGGGGAGGGCGGGGATTGAACGTATGGGTGTTCATGAACCCAACACTGAGCCCTGTGGTCCATGAAATTGAAGGATCCCAAGTGCTATTGGATTACACCTTGCCAAATGTCTCGCAGGTGAAAAGCGCTTTGTCTATATGCAAAGCTCTGGTGTCTGGAATGTACCTTCTGCGGCTCAGTTATTAATCACTGTATATTTTTTCATTTGGACAAAGAGTGCCTGCTGATAGCATTTTCAACCGCCCTCAGCTGCTTCTCTCAGCTCTGCCAAGGCCTCAGGCTGAGCTGGCTGGAGTTTTCCTGGCACCAGGATTCCCAGCTGACCAGCACTGGGGAACATCACACATTCAAACCACTTTCTCTGTGACCACACAAGGGGTCAGGCACAGGCAAAATTAGCACTTCCCTGCCTAAGTGTTTCCTGAAGAATCTTGGGAACTAGAGGCAGCAACTGGGAGGAAGCAGGAAAGGTAAAAGCCCTAGAGTAACTAGGCAGAAAATCTCCGACTGTGGGCAAAGCAAGTGCCTGAGACGCTGCCTGCTTCATGTGCTTCGGGGCAGCTCCTCTTTGAACACAGGTAGCCTCTGCTGTCAGGTTTCACTTTGATACCTGAACACACATGGGAGCCTCAGCTCTTCAGAAGAGAGGCCACCGCTGAGCAACCGGGATTGTAGGATCTCTTCCCCAAAGCTTCGGGCCAGGCAACTAGCCGGGTCTACATCCTGTATGATTAACCACCTTCCAGCCCGAGCTCACTCACTCACCCAGGAGGTCACAGAGTAATGGGAAGATTGCAGCTGGCTGAGCTGCTTCCTAAATCAAGCCATCCCCAACCCTTGTGACCTCCATCTTTAGCAGCTGAACTGGCATTTGGTAAATTTGGGGGAAAAGCAGGGGAGAAAGGTAGACAAAACAGGCAAGCTAACACCACCTGGACTGCTGAGAGGTTGGGGACAATCTCACGAGTGGTCCCCAGGCTGATGGGCTGCATTACCAGCCCCTGCATTTCTGGCAAATGGAAGCTGTGGCGAGAGGGGGAAGGGCAGCCAATCACAAGCTGGCCACAGGTCCTGGGAGTCAGAGCTGTGAGGCTGAGCTCCAGGACTCCAGCAGGAAGAGATTAATTAGCTCCTCCAAGCCCAGCCAGACCTAGCTTCTCCTAGCTTCTGTAAAGCTAGGAGAGGTTAAGGGTGGGGGTGCCTGAGGGCCAAATTCACCTAGAACAAATAGACACGCAGTCCTCCCTCAACCCTCGGCCCCCTCTTCAGCTAAAATGACCTCACTAATGAGAATGCAGCCATAATGAGGGCTTGGGGTAAACCTTCCTTCTTTGTCTCCGGGCTTTTAACATACACATTGCCAACAGATTCTTATTCAGAGATTTAGTGATTTTCTTTTCATATCTGCCAGCTAAATCAGAGCCCTGAATACTATATGTAGCAACTCTGAACACATATATTTGGGTTCACGATGTGTAATTGTGGCCCTGATGCAGGAGGGTGGGAGGAGGAGGAGGAGGAAGAGCCACTAGGTGTGTCATTACTGAGGCGACAAGAAGCCCAAGAGGGAAGCAAAATTCTTTAGTGCCTTTCACATGATCAGGGATGGCCACTGGTGATGGGAGAGGGTCACTCATCCCAGGAGGCTTCTAGACCCACATTTTCCTAGAAAGGATCCCATACACATTCCTGTACTGCCTGCCTTCAGGCCTGTGGTGAGAAATCACATTCTCAGATGAGTCAAGTGGGTGACCAATTCTGCTCGCTCTGTGTAGGGAAAGGCACTTGGGAACAGTGACGGCTATGTGTATGCTGTAGAATCAGGGCTGGAAGTTAGGTCATGAAGGTCAGACTCCATCTTCTTGAGCCACTGGGGTACCTAGCCTGTTCTAGAAAAAGGCATAGCTATTCTCTTCAATGATTCTCAAAGACTGATACAGTAACCCTCTAGGATTTAAAGGGGGAAAAAAAGCTGATTAAAAACTCCTTAGGCTGTTACAATCCTACCCTACTGCAAGCTCAGTTTAGTGTATTTGAAGATTCAGATAAGGTTGTTGACAGGAAGATTGCGTGCGTGTGTGTGTGTGTGTGTGTGTGTGTGTGTGTGTTGTTAATGTAGGGGAGGGATGAAATTTTTTGTCTCACTAGTGAGGGGGAAAAAGAAAATGAGGAAAAAGGAGAGATACAGGTAGGTTTCTGACAACCCCTGAGAGTAATTCAGCTCCTGGACACCCCCACCCCCACCCCCATTCCCCGCATCAGAATGCTCAGCCAGGCTGATCACATCCTTCCATGGAGATCTTAGCCAGATGACACATTGTTCTGCATCCAGCTAAGGCCAAGGCTGCATTATTCATTTATTAGATATACCCATTATCCACTAATTCATTAATCAACAGGTTTATTGAGTACCCCATCAGGCTTCACAAACGTGGTCAATTTTTTTTTAATTACATCCAGCTTATACCTAGTCAAGCCCAGTAAACGAGATGAGCCCCCATACCCCACATGGAAACAAGCATGAGGAATTTCTAGCCCTTGCAATCTCCCTTCCAAACCCTGCAGCTCTTGCTGTGGGGGAATCATCTGCCACCCTTGCAGATGGCGATGATGTCATTGACCCACTGTCAATAACAGGATGGGTTTTGAGTGTTTTCCCAGATGCAGTGATCAATCTGCTTGGGCCCAGCCACATACTCCTCTGGACTGCTGTCCAACAGTATGGATTTCTAAAAAGGGTGAGCCAAGAAAGGGCACAGACTATGTCAGGGAAATGAGCCGTGCCCCTGAGTCTCTCTGTTCCTTCTCATCCCGCCTCCTGGTGCCCTGTTCTGAATCCCTCCCAGATCCAAGGCTTCCCCAAGTACATCTTCAGGGTCTTTGACAATTAAGGTCTGCCTGGACTTCTAGCCTCATACACTGAATCTCATGGCCTAATTATTTTAGTTTTAGAGAAGAGCAGCCACAAAGGTTGTAAGTAAAGAGCTTATAGTCTTCCTGGTGTGGAGTCATCATATTCAATCTTTAGGTACCACCAGTGGAGAGTCAAGTCAAGAACAGGAGACAGGAGGAAGGCACTGCCCTGGGACCACCAGTGGCTCTAAGGCCCAGCAAATGCGCCTGTCACTTTCACAGCCCCAGAACTCATCACCAAGGGGGTCCCAAAGCCTGTATTTTGAGCTGGATTCATAGCCGCGATCTATTTGGATCAACCCACTTTCCCTGACCTTGATATTCTCTAATCTACTGCTTCCTTCCCCTGCTTGAATGTAATCAAGTTCTGCAGCAGACCACAGGCATGAAGAGAACCTCTCCCTGAGAGCTTAAATGCCCGGGGTCAGGGAAGTAACCCCACCCCTACCCCCACCAAAGCAAAAGTACCAGCAACACCCCCTCTCTCCCTTAACCTGCAGTCCTGGCCACTGTCCCCAGTTAGGGCTCCTGTACCAACATGATCAGTCAAGTTGGTTAGTCCTTCGTCTTCTGTGCTCATACAACAATTAATTCACCTGTCTGGCTCTCTGTCTCTGTCCCTCTGTGTGTGTGCGCGCCTGTGCGCGCCTCTCTGTCCACTGTGTCTCTGCAGGGAAAGTCGCTGGCGGGCAAGCGCCTCACGGGCCTGATGCAGTCCTCCTGACGGTTCCCAGCACCGGGCAGGGGCCCGGGCCTGCAGAGCTCTCGGGCCGGCGGCGGCGCTCCACATCTGCGGACAGAGTTTCCTTGCGTGGAGATTTGGTCACTGTGAAGGAGAAAGAGTGAGGGCCGTGGAAGGCAATGGTGGGGAGAGTCGGTGGGTGAAAGGGGAGACCAGAAGGAAAGAGTCCACGGAGCCCGGGGCCGGCCAGGAGAGGCCCCTGTTTACAACCTCTCTTCCTTGTACAGTCGTGTGCCAGCGCTCCTGGTCAGGGGAGACCGTCTCATGGGGTTCCCGGTGGACCATCACTTAAGATGATATCTTTACTATGCTCGCTGCTCCAACTGTCTGGGGGATCATGCCTTAAGGCAAACACAAAAGGGACAACAGACCATGGGAACATCCAGTATTACACATCACCTCCCTGTTCTCTATCTCTTGGGTACCACTTGGGCACCATAGTTATGGCCACCGTGTCCCATCCATCCTCTTGACTCTTCCACTCCCAGCAGCCACCTGGGTGTAAGGGGCCAGCGTGGGATACTGTCACATACAGTGTACCAGTCTCCTCAGCACTAAAGCAACCTCACCTCAAGTCCTTGAAGAGTGCTCCATGGTCGTAATGGCTGCCCTCAGTCCTGTCAAATGTCTCAAGGGTCCAACACCTTGTGGAACCACTGATTCGGAAAGATTGTGTTGTTCAACATCCATGGAGGTTTTGATGACCATCTTTTTAAAAATTATTATTTCATCTTTTATCCTGTTTTTGCCCTTCACTCCTTGGTTTTATTTAAAATAAATGTGGGCCGTGAACTTGGGAGCTACTGGGATTCTCCCCTGCACAGCCCCAGATAGAGGATGAGAGGGCATCTAGCCTAGGAGGTGCCTGGTTGCAGGGCTGACAGCCCTCACATGATGTCATCACTGTCAACACAGTCAGACCCTTGATGGATGAGGCCTCAGTGCTACCTAAAGTTGAGGCCAAGTACAGTTTGGCAGGTCCAGGTCAGAGCCTCACCATTCCCTTCCCAGGCTCAATCTGAGGGCTCAAAGAATCCCACTAAAAAATCCAGTTGCCTAAGAGAAAGCAAAACCTGCAAAAACCTACAAAAGACACCCCTGAACTCCCTTTGTGTGTGTGTCAAAATAACTCTTTGCCAACTGAGCTGTGACATCATGTTTGTAAAGCACCAAGTCATGTGCTGGAGATGTAGTAGGTGCTTAACAAATGGTAGCTAATACTGTCATTGTCATTGTTATTGTGATACCTGTGAGCCCTTGGACACAGCTGTATTAAGTAACCAGTTTTTTAATTCAAACACTCACCGCCTCATACACTGCTATGATGATACTCCTTCAGTCTATTTTTGGCCGCACATGAAAAAAACCTTCCTTGGGAGGATCTATCTGTTTAGACACTTTGAAGGAAATAAGTGATCCTTGGTGTTTCTTTACTCATGCAGGCAAATTCACCAGCTGGTGACCAAAGTCTCAAATGCTTCTTCGGCGTCCTGGCCTCTTGGTTGCTTCCCTGTGACCCATTTTTCCAATTCCCACCTCTGAATCTTTTCTGTGTCTGCTTACACACATTCCTGTCCCCAGGTCCCAGCCTTCTGTCCCTCACAATGGAGCCACCCTAGGCAATAATTCTCCACATTATGGTTGTATTCTTACAGAGTTTTGACCGCCACACCTCAGTTTTCCACCCCTGGCAATAGTTCCTCTGTTTTTCAGATGGAGAGGAAATCACAGAGATGACATGTTGGGTTCTCCAAGTATCCCAAAGGTGGCAATATAGAGCCAGATCTCTGGTGGCCTCCCATACACTCAGCACAAAGCCTGGCAGTTTGCAGATACTTGATAACCACTTGATGAGTAAATGGCCATAATGAAGCCCTACACCCAAGTTATAGAGTCTTTCAATTGCTCTTCACCTCGTATTACTTTTTATCCCCTCTTGGTTATTTAAATCTCTTGCTTCAAAGCAAGTCATACTCTTGCAGAGCATGCACCCAACTTTGCCCAAGGGAAGCTCTTCCCTGCCCAGGCCCCTGGCTATGCTGCCACTGAGGTAGAGCTAGACAAGGGTGTTCCCAAACAATGACACCTCTGTGCCCTCAGTTATTCAGGGCAAGAAGCTTGGTTGCTACCTGCCCTCCCATGGGCTTTTGGGGGGCATTCTAAACCAGTCTGCAGACAGGAGAGGGTTGGCTTCCTGGCCATGATTTCTGTTCCCCTCTCTTCCTCAAATTCTCAGCTGCTGTCCCTGATCTATGCTGGCCTGAGAATTGGCCTCATTCTGGAGGTCCCCAGAGGGCTCACTTGGAACCAAGTGGACTATGGCACTGAGAATAGATGGAAGGCTTCCAAACACCTCTGGGGGCATCCAGAGGGAACAGCAGGCTCAGTAGAGGTAAGGACATCTCAGAGGATTAACCTTCCCATCCTCTCCCCACAACAGAGGAAGGCTGGGTCCTATGACTACCATAGTATGCTTCTCAGCAGCTCAAGCAAGAGGTTGTAAGAAAGAGGTGCAAAAACTTTGCTCTAACCAAGTGGACCACCACTCCAAGATCAGGCTACCATATAGACTTCATAAGGAAAAATTTAGAAAATTGGGTCTTGGCCACGTTCCCAGTAGTATGATCTAGAGAGCCAAACAATCAGGCTAGATAAAATATTTGAAGACAATTCTTTAGCAAAACATATCTCCCTGCACCATTCTGCCCTCTAGAAGCCACTTGAGGTCACCTGACTGGGCATTGTCCCTGGATCAGAAACTTTTCTCCCTGAGGCTTCACAGAGAAAATATCATTTTGGTAGCCCCTTAGCCAAAGCATCAGGACAGTCTCTGTAAGTGACCACCAACCCAGCAGTGGTAACACACAAAGCACCAGGCCCAGAGCATGTGACTGAAATAACATTTCTCTGCATGGAGAAGGTACAACTGGTAGGTTGCATGTGTAAATGTCCAGCAGCAGACAGACAACATGACCCATGCAGTTGGAATTCTCTGGGCTAGGGAGCATCCTTCTCCCCTTCCATACAGAATTACAGCAACTTTGTTCTCCTGAGAAGCCACTGCTATACCCTAGAAACAATGATAGACCCAGCTGCCAATGCAATTGACAGGGCCTATGTCCACCTCCTCACTGTTGGTGATTAGATACTGGGCCGGCATCCTGGAAGAGCATCTGAGTTGCTGTTAAGTCTGAGCTCATGGGCCCATGCACTGAGGTTTTTTCCCCTGCAGGATTTCTGGTATGTTCAAACTACCTCACCAACAGAACACTAAGCCAGGAGCCTGCCCCTCTTCCTGACTGTGGAAATTGATGTTTTTCCTTAAAAAGCATCCCTCTCATTCTACTCCAAATACCTGGGCTTCAAAAGCCACTACCAGGAAGCCTTCCCAGAAAGTGGAAAGAACTGAGAGCTGTTGTTCTTGGGCCTTGTGGAATGTAATGGAGGGAGCTGTTCCAGCAAGTTCCAGGAGCTAGGAAGCCCTGGGCTGAAGGATGATAAAGGTACCATCAGCCTCTTAAAGAATCTGGCTAAGATGAATATGTAGCAAGGACCATGGACTAGTCAAACAGTGGCCAAATAAATCACTAATAACTCACCACGGGACCCTCCAAACACAGGCCTGTGCTTATGTAACCATGGCAACAGCAGATGCCAGCAACCTACTCATTAGTGCCACCCAGTGATAAGGCATCCCCTGGGCAAAGCCCAGGGGCCATAAAGTAGCAAAGTAGCAAATGTAGCAATAAGGGCTCCAGGGTCCTAAAGAGACAGGGTCCAAATGACTGGGGCTCAACCCTCTCCTCAGCCTTCGGGCTCAGCCGGCTGCTATCAGCTGTCTGTGGGGGGGGTGAGACCCTGCTCACACTGAGGGCTCCTGTCCTATATTCTATGCCCACTCACCGCATGATCATGGACACGTTGGAATGGCCTCTGCATAGTGCATGTGGTTCTCATTAGTTTATTTTTCTGGAATTTGGGGATTGGACCCCAGAACCAAACATGCTGGTAACAGTCTAAAAAATAAATGACTTGAACCCACTACTGTCCAGCTAACTCTGTGTGACTTCTTGGTTCGTGGGTTCATGGGGCAGGGTTTTCTTCTAGAAATAAAGCCTACCACTGCTCTCTGCTTCCAACAATGCCCCATTATCACACACACACACACACACACACACACACACACACACACATGTACCCACACCACACAGTCTGTTTCCCTCATTTGCAAGGATGCTAAGCAGCTCAGAAAAGGCAGATCATGCTGGTAGGTTGGGACAGCAGTATCATCAAATGGCTGAAGTCCTTGACTCTTCCAGGGTCTCCTTAGCTGGGTGGTCTCCAGGCCCCACTGCTCAGGTGCAAAATCCCAGTGGCCGCACTTCAGAAAAAAGTCCCAGGATCAAAGTCCACTGCATACAGCAGAAACACCTTATGGGGAGTCTTGGTTTCCTGAGTGACAGACTATCTCATTTCCTGCTAACACCAAAGCAGCAGGACTCCAAGAGCCTGAGAGTCAGGCTGACAAGAGGAGGAAGAGAACAAAGTGAAAAGGACCCTCTATTAATAAGGCTGGCACCTAGCAGCATGCTTCAGTGACAGAAATTTTGCTCTCAGAGGTAGAAATGATTTCAGAGGTATGGGAATGGGTCATCAGTCACATCTGAATGGAAACAAACTTGTCTCATCTCTGAGCAGGATCCTTAAGTGGAATGTCCTGACCTACAAGGTCAAGATCAAGCCAAGGTCAAGATCAAGGCCTGGTCCAGAATGTGTCCCACTGATAGTTCCTGGCCTACGCCCAAAAGAGCCATGCTTCCCTGTCCTCCTCAATCACAGCCTCCTCCAGGGAACCTGATGCTCTTCCTATTCAGCTGGACCACCTGCTTTATTTCCAGAATCTTTGTTTACCAAGCTGTTACTATGCATGCACATGATGCTACGAAGGACAGAGATCTGCTTTCAGATCCAGGATAGGGATGGAGATTTGGGGCAACCAACAATAACCCAAAAGCTCTTCCCTCCCAACTGTGTCTCGGAGCCTCCCTGACTGCTTCCGTGCTCCTTCACCATATTGGAGACTTCTGGCCTAGTGGGCATGAGGCTGTCCTTTCCCTGGTACCAGCTTCCAGTAATTTAGTGGTCCCAGCTTCCTAGGGATTACTGGGGCTTCTGATGAGTGTCCCTCGCCCTGGCATGTGACAGCCTCTATACCCAGGCAGCCCTCATTACAAGCATATCCCTTCCTGGGCCCACACAGCTCTCCCCAGCATGCCTTCCCTCAGCCCCCTTTTCTCATCAGAAGCTCAAAGGACCTCCTGTCACTCCTTTCTGCATATGCTCTGGGAATCCTTCCCTGACACCCAGTGCTGCAGTACCTGTGATAGGGGTCACAGAATGTTTCAGACACCACGCCCCAAGGCACAGACCCCTTGGTCAAGGAGGCCTTGTGGTGTCTGGGTAATTTTAAAGGGACCTGGGGTGTGGGCTATAGCTTGGCATGAGCTCTATCTGGAGCAATGCTATCCATCTGGTACATTCCAGGTTCGTCCTCCTCAAGCCCTGGCACTGCATGGCCAGGACTGGCTTATTTCAGCCAACAAAACAGAGAAATTGCCTGTAGTGGCAGAGTCTGCTCCATGCGTGCTCAGTCTGTTTGTTTCTTTATTTCTAAAGTAGGAACAAAAGTTCCTGAACAGGGGCTCGTGTTAGCTAGTGCTGCTTCTAAGATAGGCACTGGGAGGTGGTAAACATAGATTGAATCTGCAAATCCTTGATTTTCAGACAGGCAGACAGCACCCCCAGCCCTACAGTTTGGCTTTAGTGCCAGCCTTCAATCCACCTGGAGTCTATGGATTTCTGTGGTCTGTGTAGGCAGCATCCTCTCTCTGCCTGTGACAAGCCCTTGCTCTCTTTTTCCCAGCAAGAGCCTGGTTCCCTCACTCTGTCACTTGGGTGGCTTCAATCAGTAGCCCCACAGGGCTCCTTCCTCAGACCCCCAATGGCAGTGGAACCAGTAGAGATCTACCTTCCCCATCATTCCCCATCTAGATTCCCATTTGTCCCACAGGTCTTGTAATTGATTCATGGGTATCTGGATTCTGAGCTCTTGCCCCGAACTACTCCATTTCAAGCCCAGGATGCAGACCTTGAAACAGGTTGAGGGCTGGGCAATGCTCTGTGCTGAAAATGTCCAGCATCCCTGCAGACACACATGAACCTACACGGAAGGAGAGGACCCATCCTGGAAACAGTCAACCTGGCAACCTGGCAAGCAAATGAAGCCTGTTTTTCCTCTTTCTCCCATTATATCACAGGACTAGTTTGAGTTGGAAAAGGATAGGAGGATCATGGAGGCACAATTCACAAAATGAGATATCTCTTCCCCCAAAATCATACTGTTAAGGGAGAATCAGTGACTCTCAGCACTGAGAGGAACCTTCAAAATTACTGGCCCAATTCTGTGTGCCCACAGGTGTGCACATGCATGTATGTGTGTGTGTGTATGTGTGTGTGTGTGTGTACGCGTGTGTGCATAAGGAGGGAATATGGGGGGTTGGTTGTTTGTATATGTGGCTATATACATCAGAATTTATGTTTTTATATAAATTTTGGCAAACTTATACAATGAGATAATCATAACCAAAAATCATGCACAAAAATAATTCCATTACCCCAAAATGTTCCCTCACACCTCTTTACAATTAACCCCTTCCTTACCCTTCTGTCCCTGGCAGCTATTGATCTGTTTTCTGACCCTATAGTTTTGCCTTTTCTTTTAGAATAAAGGGAATCATAAAATAGGTGACCTCTGAGTTCAGCTTCTCTCACTCAGATCAGGGCACACTGCAGCATGTATACAGGTAGTGCATTCCTCAACTTTTCCTTTTACAGAAAGAAACTGAGGCCCAGACAGAGAAGAGCAGAGAGCGGCTAGAAGATTAAGACTTAGAGTTATAGGTTCTTAGCTTCTGTGCAACCCTTCATGCTCACTGGCCATGTTTCTTCAGCAAAACATCATCTGGTTAACCCCCTGACATCTGTGAGCCCCTGCTAGAGAAAACACATGATCATAGAAGGTTGTAGAGAATGAATTCTTTATTCATACAGCAGGAACCTCTTACTCAAAACAAAAGTAAGGAACAGTGCAAATCACAGTGAATGTGGGGGGAGAGAGGATTACTATAAAGGAACGCAAGGGAATGTTTCACGGTGACAGAATTATTTTCTATCTAAATTTTGGGAGGTAGTCACATTGTAAAAGCCATAGTGCTGATCAGAGGGAGCTATTATTTGCCCAGCAGGCAATGCTCAGTGATACACTGAGTGGGTGGGCCCATTCCTATAGCTCCAGAGCTCTTCCATGCCTTCTCCAAACTGACTGATACAGAATAAGAAAGAATGAACCCCAACTGGTAACAAAGAGCCATAATAGAATGCCAACACAGAAGGATCCAGCAGAGGTACATCCATGAAAACCAGACCAAGGAGGGGAGATAACCTGGGGTCCTCTCAGGGTCTCAAAATCCAAATAAATGGAGCTTGTAAAGCACCATTATGAATTCATGAATTTAGATACACTGGAGGTATTTCAATTCATCACATTTGATATCATTATTGGTATTCAATATGCCCCACCTTTGACTTGCAAGAGCTTAAATCCTTTAGGCATGGCCTCAGAAGTCTTTCATCTTTCATTGCAATCTTAAGTTTCAATTCAGTGAAAATCTATAAATGCTTTGCTGTAAAATCATGGGGTTCTGTGGTGGAATGGATCTATAGACTGAGTCTCCCATGCCTCCAGAATAGTAGAATTGAAAAGTTCCTTAACAGTCTACCAGCTCAGAGCTGTCACTCTACAGAATGGGAAACAGAGCCCCAGAAACATCAACTGATATTCATAAGGTTACACATGGATATGGTAGGGCAATGGTTAAAGACTAGGTTCCCTGATTTTCAGTCTCTGGTGCTACTCCTTAGTCTTCCTTTTCCTGTGTTCTCAGTCCATGTAGTCAGGCCCTTCCTGTTAGGCAACAGCCTTGTCTTTGCTATGTGTACTATAAGATGAACTTTAAAACTTATGATGAGGCTACAATAGTATAGGACAGTGTAGTATTAGTATAAAGATAGATGTAAAGATTGTTGGAATCAAATTGAGAGCCCAGAGATAAAAGAAAAACTGAATAGTCAACTGGTTTTTAACAAGAGTTCCAAAATATTTCAATGAGGAAAAAGAATAATCTTTTCAACAAAGATGCTAGAACAATTAAATAAAATTAAATGCTTATATAAATCAATTCAAAGTAGATCAAAAACTCGTAAGATTCTTAGAAGAAGACATAGGAGTAAATCTTCATGGTCTTGTGTTGGGTAATAGTTTCTTATATAACGTACCAAGAACATAAGCAACAAAAGAAAATAAATTTGACTTGGTCAAAATTACAAACTGTTGTGCTTCAAAGACACCATCAATAAAGTGAAGAACATTTCCAGCTTGAGAGAAAATATTACAATGATGTAATCAAAAGGTATTCATATATAGTATATATAGACAACTCTAAAACTCAATAATAAAATGTAAATTATCAATTAAACTGAAGGACAAAGAATCTGTATGGCTTTTTCTCCAGAGAAGACATACAAGGGAACAAGAAGCACAGGAAAAAATACTCAACGTCATTAGCCACTGGAGAAATGAAAATCAGAACCACAATGAGACACCACTGATGATGGTTAAGATTGACTGTGCCAACTTTATTGGATTGGGTGCCATCCAGAGAATTGGTGGGGCGCAGTTCTGGGTGTGTCTGGTTGCATCGTGGAAGTGTGACAGTAGATGTTCTATCTAGAACCTTACCCTTTCCTGTCAGGCACTGTTTCCTGCTGTGCTTCTCTCCATAAACTAAGAATCTTTGCTCCCCTACACCCTTCCATTGTGAAGTTTCTGCCTCAGAACTAGCTAACTGTTGACTGAATACCCTGAAACTGTGAGCCAAATTAAACTTCGCCTCTTTTAAAACTATGGATGTTGGGTATCACGT